TTGTGTGTTATTTGTTGTTTTTCCCTTGCTGCTTTTAATATGTTTTCTTTGTATTTAATTTTTGACAGTTTGATTTATATGTGTCTTGGTGTGTTTCTCCTTGGATTTATCCTGTATGGGACTCTCTGGGATTCCTGGACTTGATTAACTATTTCTTTTCCCATATTAGGGAAGTTTTCAACTATAATAATCTCTTCAAATATTTTCTCAGTCCCTTTCTTTTTCTCTTCTTCTTCTGGAACCCCTATAATTTGATTGTTGGTGCGTTTAATGTTGTCCCAGAGGTCTCTGAGACTGTCCTCAGTTCTTTTCATTCTTTTTTTCTTTATTCTGCTCTGCAGTAGTTATTTCCCCTATTCTATCTTCCAGGTCACTTTTCTGTTCTTTTGCCTCAGTTATTCTGCCACTGATCCCTTCTAGAGTATTTTTAATTTCATTTATTGTGTTGTTCATCATTGCTTGTTTCATCTTTAGTTCTTCTAGGTCCTTGTTAAATGTTTCTTGCATTTTCTCTACTCTATTTCCAAGATTTTGGATCATCTTTACTATCAGTATTCTGAATTCTTTTTCAGGTAGACTGCCTATTTCCTCTTCATTTTTAGGTCTGGTGGGTTTTTATCTTGCTCCATCATCTGCTGTGTGTTTTTCTGTCTTCTCATTTTGCTTATCTTACTGTATTTGGGGGTCTCCTTTTTGCAGGCTGCAGCTTCGTAGTTCCCGTTTTTTTTGGTGTCTGTCCCCAGTGGCTAAACTTGGTTCAGTGGTTTGTGTAAGCTTCCTGGTGGAGGGGACTAGTGCCTGTGTTCTGGTGGATGAGTCTGGATCTTGTCTGTCTGGTGGGCAGGTCCACGTCTGGTGGTGTGTTTTGGGGTGTCTGTGGACTTATTATGATTTTAGGCAGCCTCTCTGATAATGGGTTGGGTTGTGTTCCTGTCTTGCTAGTTGTTTGGCATAGGGTGTCCAGCACTGTACCTTGCTGGTCGTTGAGTGAAGCTGGGTGTTGGTGTTGAGATGGAGATCTCTGGGAGATTTTCGCCATTTGATATTACGTGGAGCTGGGAGGTCTCTTGTGGACCAGTGTCCTGAAGTTGGCTCTCCCACCTCAGAGGCACAGCACTGACTCCTGGCTGCAGCACCAAGATCCTTTCATCCACACGGCTCAGAATAAAAGGAGAAAAAGTAGAAAGAAAGAAAGAAAGAAAGAAAGAAAGAAAGGGGGCTTCCCTGGTGGCGCAGTGGTTGAGAGTCTGCCTGCCAATGCCGGGGACACGGGTTCGTGCCCCGGTCCGGGAAGATCCCACATGGCGTGGAGCGGCTGGGCCTGTGAGCCACGGCCACTGAGCCTGCACTTCTGGATCCTGTACTCCGCAACGGGAGAGGCCATAACAGTGAGAGGCCCGCGTACTGCAAAAAAAAAAAAGAAAAAGAAAAAAGAAAAAAAAAAGGAAGGAAGGAAGGGAGAAAGGGGATAAAAGAAAATAAAGTAAGGTAAAATAAAATAAAGTTATTAAAATAAAAAAATAATTATTAAGAAAAAAAATTTTTTAATTAAAAAAAAAAAGACAGACGGATAGAACCCTAGGACAAATGGTGAAAGCAAAGCTATACAGACAAAATCTCACACAGAATCATATGCATACACACTCACAAAGAGAGGAAAAGGGGAAAAAATAATAAATCTTGCTCTCAAAGTCCACCTTCTCAATTTGGGATGATTTGTTGTCTATTCAGCTATTCCACAGATGCAGGGTACATCAAGTTGATTGTGGAGATTTAATCCCCTTCTCCTGCGGCTGCTGGGAGAGATTTCCCTTTCTCTTCTTTGTTCGCACAACTTCTGGGGTTCAGCTTTGGATTTGGCCCTGCCTCTGCGTGTAGGTCGCCAGAGGGCATCTGTTCTTCGCTCAGACAGGACGGGGTTAAAGGAGCCGCTGATTCGGGGGCTCTGGCTCACTCAGGCCAGCGGGGGGAGGGAGGGGCACGGAGTGCAGGACGAGCCTGCGGCAGCAGAGGCCAGCGTGACATTGCTCCAACGTGAGGCGCGCCGTGCGTTCTCCCGGGGGAGTTGTCTCTGGATCCCGGGACCCTGGCAGTGGTGGGCTGCGCAGGCTCCCCGGAAGGGGGATGTGGATAGTGACCTGTGCTCGCACACAGGCTTCTTGGTGGCGGCGGCAGCAGCCTTAGCGTCTCATGCCTGTCTCTGGGGTCCGCGGTTTTAGCCGCGGCTCGCGCCCGTCTCTGGAGCTCCTTTAAGCAGCGCCCTTAATCCTCTCTCCTCGTGCACCAGGAAACAAAGAGGAAAGGAAAAGTCTCTTGCCTCTTCGGCAGGTCCAGACTTTTCCCCGGACTCCCTCCCAGCTAGCCATGGTACACTAACCCCCTGCAGGCTGTGTTCACGCAATCAGCCCCAGTCCTCTCCCTGGGATCCGACCTCCGAAGCCCGAGCCTCAGCTCCCAGCCCCCACCCGTCCCGGTGGGTGAGCAGACAAGCCTCTTGAGTTGGTGAGTGCTGGTCGGCACCGATCCTCTGTGTGGAAATCTCTCCGCTTTGCCCTCCACACCCCTGTTGGTGCGCTCTCCTTGGTGGGTCTGAAGCTTCCCCGCCTCCGCCACCTGCAGTCTCCGCCTGCGAAGGGGCTTCCTAGTGTGTGGAAACCTTTCCTCCTTCACAGCTCCCTCCCACTGGTGCAGGTCCCGTCCCTATTCTTTTGTCTCTGTTTATTCTTTTTTCTTTTGGGAGGTCTGAGGTCTTCTGCCAGCGTTCAGTAGGTGTTCTGTAGGAGTTGTTCCATGTGTAGATGTATTTCTGATGTATCTGTGGGGAGGAAGGTGGTCTCTGCGTCTTACTCTTCTGCCATCTTCCCCCTCTCTCTATAGATTTCTGTTAGGTCTAGTTGGTTTATAGTGCTGTTCAGGTCCTCTATTTCCTTGTTGATCTTCTGCCTAGTTGTTCTATCCATTATTGAAAGTAGGGTATTGAAGTCTCCAATTATTGCAGTTGAGTTGTGTATTTCTCCCTTCAGTTCAGTCAAGTTTTGCTCCATGTATTTCACGGCTCCATTGTTAAGTGACAGCACCGTGCTTTTGTGATGACTGTAAGCACTAATAAAAAGCAACACTGACACATTGACCCTGTCCAGCTGGAATTTCAAGGGCATTTGAGATTTTTTTCCCCAGCATCTTAAGAACCGTGATGAACTATAGGGTAATGGTTAAAAAAAACATGGGCTTTGCATAAAAAGAAACGAAATCGAGTTATTTGTAGTGAGGTGGATGGACCTAGGGTCTGTCATACAGTGAAGTAAGTCAGAAAGCGACAAACAAATACCGTATGCTAACACATGTATGTGGAATCTAAAAAAAAAAAAAAAAAAGGTCATGAAGAACCTAGGGTCAGGACAGGAGTAAAGACACAGACCTACTAGAGAATGGACTTGAGGATATGGGGAGGGGGAAGGGTAAGCTGTGACAAAGCGAATGAGTGGCATGAACATACATACACTACCAAACGTAAAATAGATAGCTAGTGGGAAGCGGCCGCATAGCACAGGGAGATCAGCTTGGTGCTTTGTGACCACCTAGAGGGGTGGGATAGGGAGGGTGGGAGGGAGGGAGACGCAAGAGGGAAGAGATATGGGGACATATGTTTATGTATAACTGATTCACTTTGTTATAAAGCAGAAACTAACACACCATTGTAAAGCAATTATACTCCAATAAAGATGTTTAAGAAAAAAAAGAAACATGGGCTTTGTAGACCTTCAAACCTGGGCTCAAATCCAGACTGCCAGGGCATTCCCTGGCGGTCCAGTGGTTACGACTCTGTGCTTTCACTGCCAAGGGCCCAGGTTCAATCCCTGGTCGGGAAAGTAAGACCCCACAAGCCACGTGGCACAGCCAAGAAAAAAATTAAAAAGAATCCATACTGCCATTTACAACTCATGTGACTTTGTGTAAGTCACAAAATGAATGGATCAGTTTCTTTGTCTGTAAAATGTGGATAATGATAGCACCTACCTCACTGGGTTGTTGTGAGGATTAAATAGGATCATGTTTATGACCTTAGCCTAAGTTAATGCCTGCCATCTGTCTGTCTGTCTGCTGATAGCAAAGGGAATTGGCATTGTCTGAGTATATTCTCACAGATAACATGGGAAGGGGTCCCCAAAACAGACTAAAAGAGAGAAACCAGAAAGAAAGCATTTGCTATGGATAATTTTCAGATGCACACATTTATCATTGTTAAAAACTTTTGACTAGAACATTTTGCCACATGTATACAGAGCAGGCAGCCTAGCCCTGTATGAATACAGAGAAGTGCTATGATTTGAGGAGTTGACGAAAATATTCCCCCTACCCTCCTCCCACATCCCAGCGTATCCCTCATATGCTTTACACATTCAGATACACTGAATTTTACTAGTAGAGCTCTATTCTTTTAGGGTCCCTCCATCGAAAATCCTCTTTGAAATACACACTCTTGGGATTGTACTAGCCTATTTTACACTTGCCCGCTGAACCACTACTAACCTGTCAGATTCATTTCCTTCTGCCTCAAGAGATCCAGCATAACACAAGTGTAACAGAGCACTGGGGGTGGCTCAGATTCTGAATAGACAGGGGTTTGAGACAGGGACAGTTCCAGGGGGGACATAAAACAAACCTCACCCTACAGCTGACTCTCAGACCAGACATACCCGTGTAAGAGTCCAGCTGTGCCCAGATACCAAGGTGTTCACCCCCACCCCAGCCCATGCCTTTTCCCATTTCACAGGTGATGGGGCTATTAGCAGCCCAGGCCATTTGATTCTACTCACTTTACTTTCAGGGGCAGCAGCAGCATGGCTGCCCCTTGCCCTCCTCTCTAGCAGCTAGATAATGCTCCCTCTCAGTACCTACCACCCAGCTGGGCTCCAGAGACCCAGGCCCGAGAGTCCAAGGAAACTCAGCCACAGTCCTCAGCACCAGGGCTCATGTGTTGATTCTCTTTCTGGGTTTAGATTACATGCACAGCGCCCACCGCCCTGTCACTGGGGGCCACCTGGGGAAAAAGGAGAGTAGTTATGTGGGCAGCATGGGCACCAGCCCCAGGAAGTCGAGCCGCTGCACGCCCCCGCCTGCCGACTCTGAGCTTGTCAGCTTTTGCTACCTCCACATGCGGGAACAAAGGAAGGATCAGGAAAGCCGGACAGATGTCAATGAGAACTTAATCTTCTTTGAGGAGACCAGGCCCCGGACCAAGTCTGACCCCACGTCCAAGAGTTCTGGCCAAGGTTATGTGATCCCTGATGACTTTGATGCAGCTAGCCTAGACCACGAGCCTTGTGCCAGCAGGGCCCGGTCCTACACTCTGGACAATTCCCTTGGGGCTGAAGCCCTGAATTTCTACTGTGACTCTTGCAAAGCCAAACTCCAGGAGCAGCTGGGCCCTCGCAAAGGTGGGAGGTCTGGCTCCTCTCGTGACAATATGGTAGACTTGATGTCCCTCCCACCCCCCGGGAGTGAGGAGGAGGAAGAGGAGGAAGATGAGAGCACTTCGCTGTTGCCTTCCATTGCTGCCCCACCTCCTGGTTTCCGAGACAACAGTTCTGATGAAGAGGACCCCAAGCGCCGGGCCGTCCAGAGCCAGGAGCAAGGACGCCACCTGCGTGGGCTCCTGTACGATGAGATTCCAGTGACACTGATTGACAGCGTGCAGACCCGGACAGTCCGAGATCATGCCCAGGAGCTAGATGATGCCCTGGTGTCCACTCTGCAGGCTCTGGAAGCCCTGGCAGCCTCAGAGGATGGACCACACCCCCCAGCCCCTCAGACTGCAGGTAACAGCGCGTTCCTCCTCCCTCTTGCCTCCCTTTCCTTCTCCTGGCCAGGCAGACCCAGCAGGTGACATTTCTTCTTCCCAAGCAGAGGTCAAAGTCAGCGTGGTGTGTCAGGGCAGTGGATGGTCCAGAGACAGTTCAGGTAGGGTCGGGGGAGCGACGAAGCTGCGGCAGGGATCTACTGCTCAGCCCCCGCTAGAGCTCTGGCTCTCACCATTCCTATCGCTTTGGAAATGTCTTGCCGATGGACCCCAGGGATTGGGGCAGTGACAGCTACGGAGCCAGGCCAGGATGGAGGATCAGAGCAAGATTGTGAGAGATATAGAAGACAGGCAAAGAACATCCAGCATGCATATGACTGGAAGAAAAACAAAATGACCAACTAACCACCTAGGGACCTGGGATCAGGGGAGCCAGGAGCCCTCACCGCTCAGGGCTGAGACCTTTATCCACCTAAGAGCTTTGGCTCTCAGACGCATCCAAGTCCTGGCTTCTTCACCACTTTCAGTGTCACCTTTGCTTTGGCAAGGCACTTAACCCTCTCTGAGCCTCACTTTTGCCATCTTCAATGGATTTGAGAACAATAGTCCTATCACGTAGGGTTGTTGTGAGGATTAAATGAGATCGTTCATGCAAAGTACATAAACACTTCCTAGCACATAGTAAGGACTCTGTAAGTGGTAGCCACTATTATTATTATTATTATTCGGTGGGCAAACTATACAGCATGCATGCTATTCCCTGTTATAGACCCACATACATCCATCTTGTAGACAAACACGGGTGTCAGACATGCACCCATAGTCACACATACATCCTTCCACACACATATGCCTTCAAACAAAGAGGTCAGTGATACAGTGACAGCAAGGAAATAGGGAGGAATAAGGCATATGAGAAAGCCTGTGAGGCGAGGGCAGGTGTGGACAGAGAGGGTGAAGTAATTGGGGTCAGAGGGAGCCTCGCTGACCAGAGCGAGTACCTGCCTTTTCGGTATGTGAGCGCATCCTTGGTGTCGGGCAGCCTCCATGTGTTCGGCCCCCAGGCCTGGCATTTCTCTTTGCTCAGAGTCTGGAGCTCCAAGCACTGGCTGCTCCCAGGCTAGAGGCCCATGTGATAGCCACAGAGAGGCCAAGCTCAGCTAAATGGCCTCAGCTTCAGGGACTGTAGGCAGGCCTGGCCAGATGAGGAGGGCCAGAGAGAGAGGGAGCTCTCTTTGCTGGCTCTCTTCAGGACAATTAACAAAAATTTCCTAGCTGTTGAATCTAAAAATAGTGATGATTAGCATGTTGTTTTGCCTGTGATCTGCATGTTAATTTGCCATCAAACTGCCCAGATCTTCTGTAGGGCCTCTTTTGTTTCTCTTTCGGATTCCAGCCCTTCATCACCCCTCTCCCAGCTTGCCTTTCTTTGTCCCCTCCCCTCCCGACCTCCCAACCTCAGCCCTGCAGGCCCCCCAGGCCTGACTGGTTTTTTCCAGCTTGAAATCCTGCTGACTAACCTTGACCCTCATAGACTCTCTACACATGGTTGGAAAGGACTTGACACGAGTAAATGCTGCAGACCCTATCCCTGTCCCTCCAGGTCTGATTGTGCTGGCCACAATCACCCCTGAATCGTCGCTGGACTCGGGCCACGAAACCAACTCTTCGGAGCTCACGGACATGTCGGAGGTGATGTCAGCCATGAAGCAACACCAGAATACCACCTACTTCCTGGCCCAGCATCTCAACAAGGACAGCCTCCTGGCCCGCAAGGACCTGCCCTTCCGGATCCAGAGCTGTGCAGCCCAGGCCGTTCTCACGGCCCCTTACTCTCTCGGGCGCCCGGATCCCAACCCATCCCTCCAGCCAGCTGTCACAGGCCAGAGTCCTGGCGCCCCTGGTGCTCGGAGGAAGGTGCCCCCGTCAGAGGCGCAGCCACAGCACGAGCGAACGTACGCCCTGGCTGTGCACCCAGCACTGTCCCCTCAGCTGAGTGAGCAGAAGAATCTGAGCCTGCTGTCCCCAGTTCCTGAGGACAAAGGGCCTGGCCACACTCGGGCGGGCCTAGAGATGTCACTGAGGGCGGCCACACCGTCCCTCAGTGAAGAGCAGGTCTCTGAGCTAAGGGAGAGCCTGCCCAAGGAGGTCAGGTTGAGCCCCAAGCTTATCCTGGACCCAAAGGGCAGTGTGACCCCAGCCATCATCTCGGCCGCCCTACAGCAGGTGGTTCATACTAAGAGTCTATCTGCCCCTGGCGGGGCCTTGGGGAGCCCCCCCAACAGTGGGGAGAGGTTAGAGGCCAGCATGGGGAGGTCAGAGGTCAGCATGGGAAGGCCAGAAGTTAGCATGATGAGCGGCAGTGCCAATAAGAATCTTAAGTTCAAAATGAGTCCCAGTGCTCCAGAGGCCTCACGGAATTCCCAGCCGCAGCTGAGCCCAGAAGTCTCTTCCAGCTCCAGAGCACCCACAGGCAGCCGAGCTGATAGCCTGCACCTCTCCTCACAAGAGGACAGGCTGCCTATTCAAAGTTTCCCTCCCAAGAGCTATCTTTCTCGAGCGAGTCGAGAGTCAGTGGGCAAGCAAGGTACCGGGGAGGTGGCGGGCAAGGGCGGGCCTGAGGGTGCTAAGCCTTCCCTGCATAAGCAGGGCAACGTCTCCGGCCAGGGGGAGAAGGGGCAGCTGGAGAGCACCCCCCAAAGCAGCAAGCTTGAAGACACCAGCCTGGTCCCCCGAGCCGGCTACCCCATGGTTCTGCAGAGCCCCAGCTGCCCGCCGCGAGGCCAGAGCCCGCTGAGGCCTCAGGCTGCCAGCCGGCAGGTGAGCACCATGCCCTCCAGAAAGATCGAAACGACCCTGGATGGAGCCCACTTGGCCTCCGAAGGCCCCACCAAGCCCAAATCGTCCCGGGGTCCTTTCCGGCTGCGCAGCTTATTCTCTGCCACCTTCCCAACCCGCCAGAAGAAGGAGACCGATGAGCGGCAGGCCCAGCTGCAGAAGGTGAAGCAGTATGAGCTGGAGTTCCTTGAGGAGCTTCTCAAGCCACCAAGCCAGGGGGAGCTGTCGGGCACCGAGTACCTGCAACCCCCAGCTCCAGGCCGCTGCAGCTGCCAGCTCCGCAGCAGCCCCGTGCAGCAGGGGCCCGGCATGTCCCGAGAGCAGAGGCGCAGCTGTGATTGCAAGCGCATGTGCCGGGGGGCCTGGCCTCAGGCCCCCCAGACGCCGGTGCCCGGCCTCCAGGGGAGGGAGAGGGACAGGGTCCCCCCTACCCAGAGGCAGCCAGAGGCCGGCCCAGGCTTGAGCCTCGGCAGCCCCACCAGTGTCCGGCGCATCCGCTCCACCAGCCTGGAATCCCGAGAGTGCCGATCGGACCCTGAGAGCGGGGTTTCATGCCTGACCACATGTGCCTCGGGGGGCGAGTGTCTAGGAGCTCCCAACTACAAGAAACTGATGCGCCGCTACAGCATCAGCGAGCTGGACCAGGGCGACAGGGCCTCGCTGACCTCGGACGTCTACCCGCACCCACCCCTGGGCATGCTGCCCAGGGAGGCCAAGGAGGTAGAGGCAGGCCTCCCCCTAGGCGTGGGTCCCAAAAGCAAGTCGCTGGAATCCCCGACCCTGGGAGACCCCTCCTACGTCCACGTTGCCCCTGAGACCAAAGGCCCCAGACAGATGGCCGTGTTCTCCCTGCCGGAAGAGGTGTACCGGAAGCCCGCGGAGCTGGACGAGGACAGCGAGAGTGGCAAGTGCTGCTCCATCCGCTACTGCTTCTACTACCGCAAGTGCGACATGGCGGATGACACCAGCGATGGCAAGGACGAGCTCTCCTACTCCATCCCCATGAAGATCCTGCCCGGCATGAAGCTGGACGAGCAGGTGGTGCCCGTGGTGAGCAAGACCCTGCAGGTGCTGGATGCCGCCACCTGCAGCAGCCCGGAGGCCTCCCGCACCCAGGAGATCGACCTGCGGGTGTCCACCTTCGAGGGGAGCCTGGCCAAGATCAACGCCCTGCGGGCCCATGCCTACGGCCTGCCTGACGGCTTCCTGGCCGCCCGGCTGGACACCAATGAGCTGCTGACGGTCCTGAGGCAGTGCGTGGCCAGCCCTGAGGCCCGCGCCCCCAAGCCCTACGTCTCCCAGATTTCTGAGTACAAGCTCGAGCTGGCTCTCAAGTTCAAGGAGCTCCGGGCCTCTTGCCGCCGCGTGGCCAACGTGGACAAGAGCCCCACTCACATGCTGGCGGCCATCACGGGCAGCTTCCAGGTGCTGAGCAGCCTCATTGAGACGTTCGTGCGGCTGGTGTTCATCGTGCGCTCTGAGGCCCAGCGCCAAGAGCTGCTGGCCAAGGTGGAAGAGGTGGTGAGGAACTACACCTTCCTGCTGCGCGCAGCCGAGGAGTCCACCGCCCGGAGCCTTAAGCAGCAGCAGCAGGCAGCGGCCGCGGGGCACTCACCGGGCTCCCCCACTTCAGCGACTGTTATGAGCACATTCACCCGCTCCTTAAAAACCCTTATCAAGTAGGCCATCTGCCCGGGCCTGCCCCCCTTCCCCAACCGTGGCCCCAGGTTTGAGCTTTGTGGTCTTTGCATCTTGTGGTGAGTATAGGTGTCTGCTGGGCCAGTCAGGGTCCCAGAGCCCTCAATCTCCAGGGAGTGACAGCTCCGTGCATTGAGGCAGTCCCTGAGGGCTCCCGGCAACTGCCACCCCGGGTATCCTCACCCCTTCCCTGGCCTCTGGGCGTCACTGTGAGGGCCAAGGCCCCCCCTCCCCGTCACTACACCTGCCGCAGAGCTGTATTGCCTCTCTTCTCTAGGGCTGAGACGTGACGTCAGGTCCGCTTCCTGCTCCATCATGGTAGCCGGAGGGAGGCGGGCCTGAAGCAGGGGGCCCATGGGCCTTGAGCTCCTCTTGGCTCCTGTGCCCCTCTGGGGAGCAGTGGCAGTAGCAGCAGGCCACAGCGCCGAGCGAGCGGAGAGGCTCGGGCACGCAGTCCAGACGTGCCCACCCGCCCTGGGCTCACACTCACTCGGCAGGAGCCACCCCGGAGGGCTTGTGCCCGGGTAGTGGGTCTGCAGAAAACAGCCGCGCTGAGCTGTTTGTGGCCGGCCCAGCAGGCTGGCGGCCTCAGGGAGCGCTCGCCCCCCGGGCCCAGTAGCTCCACACCAGCCATCCCCAAAGTGCCCTGCCCCTCGCTGACAGGCAGGGCGGCTCAGTCCACTAGGGAGCAAACATCTGGGATCACCCCGCTCGTTCTGGGTAAGGTACCTGGTGAACACGTCTGCCCTGGGGAGGCCCAGCGCAGGCCTCAGAGCCCGCCTGGCCCAGCCCAGTGCAGGGGCTGTCGCTGCCGGCGTGCGGCTCCTCTCAACATCTCTCTACCAGACAGACTGTCCTTAGGAGTCCGACTTAGCTACAGATGGGG